CTCTCTCTCTCTCTCTCTCTCTCTCTCTCTCTCTCTCTCTCCTCAAAAATGTACAGGAAGCCTTCTTTCAGGGGTCCATCGATTATTCCTTACTCACTGTGTACCTGCCATAGAAATTACTAGTTGCTAATGTTGCTATTGTTTTCCCCATTTTAAACATGAGGAAATGAACCAAAGTAAAAAATATGTTAAGATTCACACAAGGACATGGCACATTAAGATTTACTGAGTACAGTCCACTTACTTTCACTGTTATGATCTTCCCTGTCTTTGGCAGTAATCCCGTGGTCATTGACTAAATGTCCTCTTCTTGAGAGCATTTTTCAGGGATATTCTGGGTGGGATGAGTGTAAGTCCCTACTCTTTTGAGTCCTTTAAGTGCTCGATATCAATGAACTTGTTTGTCAAGTAATAAATTCTCGTAAGAATGAATGTTTAAACAGGAATAAAAAAAATAAGAATGAATGTTTAACAGTCTGCCTCATAAAAACCAGGAGTACCAGGAGTATGGATAGTATTTTTTAAAGAATCTAAAGAGATCACTTGGAATTGGAAGGGATTTTGCTAAGCAGAAATAAGTCAAAAGGTAATGAAGACCTAAACACCAGATGGTATTAATTTATATGGAATATAGAAAAACAAAGGGTCAGACGAAGCCAAATTAACAACAAACCCTGGAGCTTACTATAGCTCTGAAGCTACCAGAAGGGGAGAGGGGGAAAACAAAGAAGGGAGGGAGCACATCAGATTATGGTGGACACACTGGGTCTTTGGTGGTGGGTGCAGGGTGGTAACTACACCTGAAAGGGAAGATCCTATATTTCAAAAACACAAACAACTATGTAAACCAATGTTACCTCAATAAAATAAATGAATGAACTTAAAAAAAAAAAAGAAAATGACTTTAAGGAGAGGGAATGTTTAATTGTTTCAGAGAGGAACACTTGCTAACTCATCCCAAGTTTCATTAAGGAAACTCTTAAGTAGCTACCTCTTATAATTAAGTCTGGCCACTTCATTTACCCCATTTATTATATTCTGGAGTATTTATGTAGCATTTACTGATATAGATAAAGTTTAACACATGCCAAAATATACTTACATGACTTTATATCTGTTATGAACACAACATGGGGTTGAAAAAAGCCAAATATTTCGAAACAGACAGCAAACGTTTGTTGAAAGTCCTGTCTGTTCTAGACCCAGTCACTTCCAAGGAGGGTGGGAGGATCACCAGAAACTCAGGTGTGGCTATAATAAGCAGCCCATCTGCAAAGGATTGTGAAACTGGTCTGAGTCTGGCAAAGGTTCTGGGTAGAGAGTGGAGAAAAATACTGTTGGGTAGGTAGGAAAGAAGAGCTTGCAGTGGGGCTTGGGCTCTGAGCAGAACATCCAGACCTAGTGCTGTGGAAATGAGGGGTCATGCTGGATTCCGGATGCAAGAGTTTGGAGGAAAGAAAGCATCCCAAGAATATGGGGAATCTCTCCTCTTTATTAGGGTGGAACTGGAAGCTACAATATAAGAAAGAGTAGCAGTTGTATGTCTCCTCTGAGGTTAGCAGGAAGAATGGCAGGGTAGAAACTAGCTGTAATAGTGAACACCAGCATAGCACTCAGTGTGTCAGGCAGTGTTCTCACCACTTCAGGAATACTCATTCATTTATCCTTACAATAATTCTGTTACAGGGCAACCCAGTGTGAACTGGGCCGCCTGTCTGTGGGGCCTCACCCACACGTTGAAATTCAGTTGTACTGCAGGCACTCACAAAAGGGTCAAAATGGGTTTATTTACGAAAGGGGGAAAGAAAAGAAAACAACAACTGGAATATCTTACCGGCTGGGCTGACTTGGAGCTCTGGTAACAAACTAACTGAAAGCCCCCGAGACACGCGGTCCAGAAAGCTGTTTCCTGAGTGAGAGAGCGAGAGACCCAATGGTGCCCTCTTTACCCCCCAATGTCCCAGAATGCCTGCTTAGCTCTGCCCTTGGGTCCTTGCATTTTTCTCCCTGGTACTGCTGGGAGTTGTAGTTTCCAGTCACTGGAGTAGCGGGTAGAGTACAGAAAGCTGGAGTAGGGGGGTGAAGTCCACAAGACTCTGCAGAGTTCCTTTAGGACATCCTTTCCCTTAACAATTCTATGAAATTAGTAGCAATATCGTCTTTATCATCCAGATAAGAAAATCGAGGCTGCTAAAAACAGTCAGCCTAAGGTTGTGCAGAAAAGATGGCAATATTCAACATGTGCTCACCTCATAGCTATGTCCTAAAGACTAATTGCAGTGTGCTTAAATGATTATTTGATAATAAGTGTCACATTTAGCTGTTTCAGTCACAGTCTGAGAAGATTTTTCTCCAAAGTGGTAGACACCACAAGACCAAGGTTGTGTTCCTTGGCTGTGAATGTGGTTGATAAACTCATATCCCATGTTGGATAGATGAGCTTTCTTCCTCGAAAACCTGAGGAACATAGGACAAACCTCAAAATTTGAAAGTTACAGTTATATTCCAATAAAAATAAAAATCGGCTCTCCCTGGTGGCGCAGCGGGTTAAAGCACAGCACTGAGAATCTAAAGCCGCTTCCGCATGAGTTCGATTCCCGCCTGCCCCGGAGGT